ATATATATATATATATAGTAGTGATAACGATATGTTTAGAAGAAGTTCTGTATTAATACAATGCTGGTGTTAAATAAAGTTAATAATGGCAGTATTGCATTTTTATTTATTATATCATCCTTGTGTGTGTTTTCAGGCTGGTAATGGGTTAAGAAGAAACATTTCACTGCTGTTCTGGCTTGTCCTAGATGCCAACCGAGGACCGTGCAGACCTACATGATGTGTTTCTCATGTATGTGGTATGTCAATCTATAATTGATGACTGTTCTTTCCATCTCTGTCCTTTTTTTATCGCCATAAATAGTGACTTGGTCTAGCACTGCAAACTGCATGTGCAGCCTAAATGCAAGAATGTGTCTCTTATATAAATATTATACATCAATACAGAGCATGAGAAGATGGAAAACATAGTAATATTGATCACCTCTGCCTGCAACCTGTAAATTGTATGTTTTTAGGCCAGATTGGGTAAAATAATCAAACCCAAGACAACAAACATCTTGGGATAAAGTATGCACATAGAAGTACTGTGGCATTGCACCAACCTCAGAGGGTTGCTATGGTTATAAATGATGTCCAATCTCTTCTTCGGAAAACTAGGACGCAGACCAAGAGCACAACTTTCGACCAGCCAAATGTTACACCAAAAATATGCTATTTAAAACGGAAAAGGGGACTGTCTGTTCTTAAACTGAGGCACAATATAGCTGCTCTATTTTTGACCGTTTTAAGCCACATCAAAAGACTTCTGTCAGGATCTAGACGATGATATATGTGGCTCCCTCAGTGAATTTTAAACTTTTTGTTATTTTTAAACCATTTTCTCTATGCATGCGTTTCCTAATTATTGACGACTGCGAACAGGGAACATTTTATTGTGTTTCAAGGTTGTGCACAGTTATGTGTGACAGTTTATTTACATCTTTATTTTACTCTGTAAAGATAGATAGATAGATAGATAGATAGACTGTCAGGATTATTGACCTGTTTTGCCCGTTTCTGTTTCAGTGTTCCCTTATTTGGTCATGTTCCTGTTCTTGTTGTCTCATTATTAGTTGATTCCCCGCACCTGTCTGTCCCTCGTTAAGTTTAGTATAAATGTGTAGTCTGCCTCATGTTTCCTTGTCGGGTCTTGAACGTCTTCCTTGTGCTCTGTCTCCCTGTTGGATTATTAAAGACTCTCGTTTTGTGAAGTCTCCTCGTCTCCTAGTTCCTCCCGTAAGCAAAGTGTGACATATACAGTAGATCAATCAATAGATAGATATGTTTATTATATGTTTGTATTATAACAACACCCTGGCAACCACCCAGAACATCCTGGCATTTTGGCAGTAGATTTTGCATGGGCAAGCACCGCTCATATTTCTTTCAAAAAAATGTTTAGTGGCATCTGCTGTCAAGTTCAATAAATTAGTTCACCGTTGGAGTTCTCAGCCTGCGGCTAGTTTGCAAAGCAAACAACAGGGCTAATGCCAGAAAGGCCAGGAAAACAAGAATGAAGCAGCTCTGTTAAATTGCATTATCTAGCGTTGCTGAATCTCATTCGTCAATTTACAAAACAACCACCACACCATCTCTGATGAGAATTATAAAAGTTATCTCTATGGGTCTGCCATAGAGGGGTTTTCTGGCGACATAGGAGGCATTTGACACGGCTGGAGTCTCAGCATGTTGATGAAACAGAGTTGGCTCTCTTTATGGTCACAGTTCAGGAATTCCACGCTCTGCGCGCCTGTAGAGCTGTACGATTGCAAATTGGGCAATTGGTGGAGTTGGAGCTCAGTCTGGCCATACTGTCCACACATGGTGGTCTCCAGCTATCAGAATCCTGGCTCATTCTTCTATATGTCATGCTGATCGTTCCATCTGTCGGAATTGGTTCTGGCTCTGTGCATGGAATTCCCTGTGGAATCTGTTCATTAGAATGTTCAATAAAAGAAGATGGAATCTGATTAAATCAAACCACCGTTGCACCTGTGTTCAACATCATTGGAGATTCACCACAAACTCATATGTTGTCTTTTTATCTTTTGCTGTATTATGAAGGTTATTTAGAGGTAACAGAATAATTTTGTCATTCTTTCAGAATCCCCATCAGGACCATCTGCCAGTGTTTGGACACGAGTTGAAGGTGATATTAAAGCAGATGTTAGGTGAGTTTACCTTCAGCTTCTTTATTGCCAGATCAGCAGTCTCAAGGTCAGAAGCTGCACTCAGAGGCACTCTTAAAAAAAAATTCGTCCCACTTCTAAAGTGTATGTGATTCGAAGCAACATCACAGACACTGCCTGAAGTTAAAAACCTATTTTAAGTTGTGCAGTGCACCTGAGATATCCTCATGTAGTCTATAAAGAAACAAAAAGTGACATTGTATTACTGCTGGTCTGTTGTATGCGAAAACTCCCAGAGCTGTGCAGTCCAAAAAAAAGCAAATTAATATGTATGAAACAGATCTGAGACCCAAACAAAGTAGTCTTGTATAGTTTATTGTAAAATCTATGAATATTACATCTCTAGCTAATGCAATTATAAAAAATAATGTGCATAATCAGTTCTCCGGAAACACATATCATGTCTGATTTACATTTCATTGGCCTAATGACTACCAAATTGTCACTTTCAATTTTGGACATGGTATTATTTTGATACAATACGCATTTTATTCATTCACATTCAGGAACTTCATATGCATTATTTCACATGGTCAGGCTAATACAAACTAAAAGGTAATAAACAGTGTATGTGTTGGCTGCTGGAGGGGGCTCCATCGGCTGGACAGGTGGCGGAGCGCGTGGTGATTGACCGTCTCCTCCGAGCCCTTCCCCGATCCCACCGACAGGCAGTGGGGATCTAATAAACTATATTTTATATAAATAAATAGAAATATATTAGTAAATATATATATATTATAATATATATAATAATATATTAAAGTAAAATTCTAACATTTTTAGAGTAAAAGCTGTTGTAATTCAATCATTTTATAATATATTCTGACATATAGCATTAATTAATTTGCGCTAGAACCAAACGATGGTTATTTGGTTCAGTAAAAGAATTCTTCTACAATCATAGATCATCTCATTCGGAGTGCCTAGGGCTGTCACAGGGTCTGTCATAATTTTCCTCCCCTTGTTTTGCACCAGCCAGCACAGAAAGACCCAGCAGAGGAACAGTCTGTACACCCATTGCATGCTCTTTGAACACAGACACACAAAACACACAAGACACTGCAGGCGCGACAGGAGATGAGCTGTTCAGAAGGCTTAATTAACGAGGGCGAAACATCTGCATACCAGCATATGTTTAGGGCAATCACCCAGCATGATGATCGCTCCATCTCACTAGATGACAATCAGGATGTATTAACCGGGCAAGACCTAACATATGGTGTATGTCATAGACACATCCTGTCAGCATGGTCAAACATATTCATTAATGCCACTTAGCGTTATGAGACAGACAGTGGATGGAAACAGATGAACTGCACTGCACTGCCACAGTGGCCCTTTTGAGAGGATAACTATCATTGATGGTAATTGATAGCAACATGTCCGGTAATTGCACTACCTACTTGGCAGCTATTTGGTGGACACTAATTTCCACAGTGTGTTTTGGTCTATTGGATAATGGCGGGCGCATTTATTAACAAGCTTGGAGAATAAACAATTAATTAGGGTGAAACCTGAAACCTGAAGAAGGGCTTTCAGCCAAGCCCTGTCACAGTACACAAATCAAAGATCAATACATGCATTTTTGTCTTATTGTAAGGAATATATATCGTATTTAAAATATATGTGTGTATAACATTTTTAGCAAAACTTTAATTTTTGAAAAAGATACAAAAATAGAAATGGATAAAAACACCCCTATGCTATGCAAATAATATAAAAAGAATTAAACTTATATTAAATAAAGGATTGTTTATATAAAGGACATTTTTAATTATATATTATTATTAGAAATGTGTACTTTTTCTTATTCATTCTAATAAATCTATCTATCTATCTATCTATCTATCTATCTGTCTGTCTGTCTCTGTTCCTCAGAATAAGATATGAAATGAAAATTATAATAAACTGTATATAAATAATGTTTTATTACAATTTTAATATAATTTTTAATTGTATATCAAATTTGTATTTAAATAAATTTAATTAATTATTTAATTAAATGTATTTTTCTTATTGTAAGGAATATATATATTATATTTTAGATTATGTACAGTATATGTATGTATAACATTTTAGTATAACTTTCATTTTAAAAAAAGATACAAAAATAGATAAATATAAATAGATAAAAACAACCCCTATGCTAGGTAAATAAGATAAAATAATTAAATTATATTAAATAAAATGCATTTATATAAAGAACATTTTAATTATATATTATTATATTTTATTATTATTAGAAACTTTTACTTTATTCATTCTAATGAAAAAAACTATCTATATGAATTTCTATTTTATTTATGAAAATTTAAAATGGATTAAAATAACAAAAACAAAAACTATGCTGCCTCAAGTTAAAAGAGCCCTCATTATAAGTCTGTGGGATGTTTTATTTAATTTTTTTGGCCCATTTATCATTCACCAGGCAAACATCCTAAGTGTAATTACATGTGAAAGTAAAAGTACACCTCTTTTTTTAGGTATCCTGTCTGTAGCACAGTGTGGAGTGAATTATGTGCCAAAGTTGAATATGAAAAAGTTATATCTGTCTTGAGGGCAGAACAACACGCATTATTCAAGGTACATCTAAGAGATGGGAACTTTGTGTCCTTTTGCATCTAAGTTCACAGTGCAGTTGTACATTTCTGTCTACTGTGCCACCGAACAGGTCTGTGTAAAAGACCTGGGCCATCATTTATCAACAGTGCGCACGCACAGATGAGTGCGTAAGAACAGTTTCACGCAAAGGGTGGGCTCTACCAACTTGTACTTATACGTAGGAATGTGTGTAAATGTAAGCACAACTCTTGATTCTAGTGGTAGAATGGCGATACTACAAAAAGAAAGTGCTGCCGTATGTGTCCTGTGTCTTTTAATTGCAAATACTCAATTAATAATTTTATATTTCAAGCTAAACATTTGCACAATTAGTGTGAAAAGCTATAAAGGACAGTTGGGAAGTCGATTTGAAATGTAGTTATATGGTCATGGCTGATCTCGCTTTGCTGGAAGATTTGGCGAACCATGCGCTGCGCAGAGAACGCGTTTTTCAAAGAGTGCGCTGATCTGTTTAGTGAGAGCACAGAATGGCTTCTCAGTCGGTAGCGCTTTCTTTGCCATGACTTCAGTGAGGACGTATACGTTCAAGTGATAAAGGGAGGTGTTGTCACCACATATGGTTCACTGGAGGCACTTCTGAATGCAAATGACCATGACTGTGAACGAGCATGGTGCTTAAGAACATGTGGGATTTATCAACAATGATTACTTACTGGTGTGCGTAAGAACCACGTGCGCACGTTTGATAAATACAGATTTTTTTGTACTTACACACATTCTAAATTTCATTCGTAGGACAAAATATAGAACCTTTTCTACGCACTCTTGATAAATGAGGGCCCTGGAGCTTCTGCAAGAACAAAGGCAGTTCTGGGCTTTGGCTTATTGCTTGCTGAAGCTTTGAGAACTCTCAGACAGTCCAATCCCAATTACAGCAGTCTAGCCAGACTGCAGTAGCTGTAGTGTGTAATTCTGCAATCAGTTCAGCAGCACACTAGATAGAAATGTACAACTGTTATTTACTGACAGATGATTGTCTGAAGCACTTCAACAAGGACAGATCGTTCTTAAAATGGAATAGACAACAAGTCACCTACTTTTAAACTACTGTTTTGCAAACAAACTAAAAACAAAAATAAAATAATATCCAGATTTTGACTTGTAATATCCAAATGCACTTAGCCTTTGCTTTATTATTGTCTTTGCACATGTTGTTTGTTGAAACAATGAACTGCATTGTTTATTTTTGCATAATTAGCATTCTTTCACAAGCATAGGTTTGGAGATGTACGTCTTGTTGTTCCAGATCATCACATCTCGTTCGAACTGTAATAGCAAAACCATCAGTTAAGATCCTATAAGCAACCTTTGGTAGGGTTATTGTAACTAAACAAAACAGCTTCTTTTTAATAAACACTGATAGGTGTAATGTAACGAAGTAATAATACTTTGTTACAGTACTTAAGTATTTTTTGGGGAGTATCTGTACTTTACTTGAGTTTTTATATTTCAGCCAAGTTTTACTTTTACTCCACTACATTTCCTAATTAAAATGTATACTTTTACTCCGATACATTTCCCAGAAGCATATTCGTTACTTACTACAAAATAGTCAGAAGAACACGGACTGCAGGAAAGCAGGTTTGGCGAATCAGTGGTCTGGCGTTTGCAAGTTAGACTCATGCTCATGTGCAAACAAGTGCGCGCACAACCGCGGATGATTTGATTTTCCACTCAAGTCGAGTCTGGGGTATGCAATATACAGTATATCTTCTGTGATAATATGGTAAGTGTTGTTGTAACGATGTGCGATCTGACATTATCGGGTATATCATCACCAAATCACACAAACAGAGACAGAGTGCATGCACGTGATTTATTAGTCTATTAAAACGAAAAATTTAAGGCATTCTAAATTGTAGATGGCAAAAATGCTTCTGTATGCTTTTTATATCTATATAATTTAATATAGTTAACCTAATCTATATCACACAAAGAGTGCCGTTTTTCTGCAGATATCAGCATGATAACTAATTTAATAATCATTTTATACAAGTTCAGTAAAGTTAGCAATGACTTACATTTTAGA